CAGTGAGTGTGTGTGTTTGTTAGTATGTGTCAAATTAGTGAGTGTATCTGTCAGTTAGTGAGTGTGTATCTGCCAATATGTGTCTGCCAATGTGTGTCAAATCAGTGAGAGTGTGTATGTGTCTCCCTGTGAGTGTGTGTGTCAGTTAGTAAAGGTGTGTTGGGTAAACAGGTGGTGTGCGCCAATGGCTGGGTGTCTGACATATACTCACATACACATAGATTATGTGTATCAGTAAGAGCATGTGTCTGTAATTGAAAGTGTATGTGTGCCAATGACTGCATAATTGTTAGTGAGAGTGTAAGGAGGGTCCTTCTTTGATTCTTACACAGACGCTTTGTGATTTACAGTTACACCACTTGGATAGCTACAGTCTGTGGTGAATAATTGCATGTTATAGACTACTGCCTGGAAAACATTTATACCTTTTTTTCCAAGACTGAAACATTTGCAAAACAGTACCCCATAATTTGTTAGATCTGCTATATTTGTCTGATCTAAATTTCTACAAAGAACTGAAAACTTACATACAAATACTTAATAGTTCAGAAAATATTTAGGAATACTGCATATGAAGCATGCAAGGTACTAGTAAAATAAATTTTTTTTTAAAAAGACACATCCAAAACGGATATCACTGGGTTACTGGGATTATATATGGTGTGATGCTATTAAAAATGCATAAAAATAGGAATACTGATAGAGCAATGACAATAATAAAGCTGTGGAAAATAAATATTTAATCATCCTCTCTGCATATAATTAAGATTTTATGATTGCCTCTCCAAATTCATTCTGCAGGTGTCTTACACATTTCGCTAATACTTATTGTCTATCCTTTTCAATCACATTATAATTTAGCTCTAAATAGACTGAAAATGTGAAAACATATAAATATCAGCATTTTGGCATTACAGTATTAAAATGATGTAGAATGAAACTACAAGATGATTATACTGATAAAAAGGAATTTAGCAACTAAATCCAAGCTGTTAGCAAACTCCTCAGTTGAAAATTGTTCCATGGTAAACTATACTGACTGCTGAGCTTACAGCAGGTGAGGAGATATATAAATATTCTCTGTTAGAAATGCAATGCCCTTGTAAATTAAAAGTTATAAAAGCAATCACTTTGGAAACTCAGATGGAAACATTATTTTTGTATTCACGTTAAAACCCTACCTATCTTGCTCCCTCTCCATGGCTGCTAGAATACAACTTTGGATTTTAATTTACAAATGTTGCTGGAGAGTACGGGAGAAAGGGTGACTGTCACTTACAGTCCCTCAAGCTGATATGTGAAATGGCTTTGGCAGAATAATATTTTTATCTCTATTATGAAAAACAGCACTATAACAGAGAGATAGGGCATTTAAGACTGTTTGATATAATTTGCATTGCTTCAGAGAGAATTAATAAACCCAAATATGATCTTACTGCTGCTAAGAGTTTCAGTAAAGTCATAGCCTGATTTGGTTATCACAAACCAAGCAAATTGGTTGACAATACAGAATTAATTACCTTATCAAATAATACTAATATTACCTACGTAACAATTGCTTTTCTGCCTAACCTATGACAGCTGCATAATGAGGTTAGCTCCACCCACTTGACTGTTTAGAAAAGGATCTTAAGGCTATAAATACCTCTCTCTTAACAGATAGGTTCTCCAATCTTTTTCCCTGTCTTACTGGCTGTAAATAGTTTCTCCTTTCTTAAAATGTACTGTTTTATTTTATGCTCACCAAGCAACTTTTTGAGAAGGTCCAATCAAGAAAATTGAGTCTCTCTTCAATACACACAGACCTGTTAAAAGTGGTTAACCCCTTCTTAGTGACCAGGTGTCTGACCTAGACTATCTCCTGAAGAAAATAACAATGACTTCTGAGATGCATATTAGATTTTCAAAATTCCCAAATGCTGGTGGACACAGGCCTGCAGATTTTAATTTATTCAGGCTGCTCATTTTGTCATGTAAGTATAAGGGTCTGCTATTATTTCAGTTACTCCTGTTACTTAGTATGGGTTTCCTTATAACAAATGGGTCACATGTATTATGCTTATTGGTGAGCATTTAGAAAAAGTCTTATATGGCTTGTGTTGGCATTCTAGAAAACAGTGCTGTTGATAACGGTACTGGCTATTTGGAGTCTGCCTAAATTACTCCAAAAGTTCTAAAATACAGAGGTTATTTTTCCTTTTAACAGATCTCTCTTGGTTGCTTGTTTTATCTTTCGCCCATCAGATATTAAATACTTTATAATTATATAATACATTGTTCTTCTGTTTTCCAATTTAAATAATATAAATACATAAACATTTTATGCTTGTATATACAGTGCTTGTCACTTTGTATATAAAACATATATTGGCAAATACGTTAATGTCAATTGTACTCTGACACTTTAAAAAAATCTTTTATGGCATGTGCAAAATGCATTACCATTAAATTACATACAAATATTTGGTAAAACTGCAGTTTTTTATTGATGTTAGAAGCTATGATCATGCCAAAGGATTTTTCACTTTCAATCCAATTGTGAATAAAAATATGTAAATGAAAAATCAAATATATGAATTGTTTGCATATGTTGCACACCTTTTAACTATTGCTTTGTGGAAGTACATTTTGCTTTGTTTAAGGAAGAATATTCTTTGATATGATTCTCTATAAACTTACCATGTTCCTTCCACCTTTTTACTACATATTGATTTACTATTACAGTGTTACTATTTTTACTTATAGTTTACTACTGTAATATTTGTACTTGCAGTTACCTGTAGTAATTAATAATCTGGATAATAGCATTTAATAGGCACATATTAACTCCTCCCCCTGACCTCCCCCTGCTTGCCAATCCTAGCTGTAAATTCCTTTATATAACTGTGCATCCTCAGTGGTGTAGCTAGAGATTTTGCCACCCGGGACAGACTCTGATTTTGCCGCCCCCCTCTCAATACACAACGAAAAATATTACAAAACGTCAAGATGACTGTAACGGATCCCCTATACTCTGACTGAGTATATCTGTTAGTATTCTCCCAAGTGCTGCAGTAATTATAGCTCTCCTATTTCCAGCAGAGTAGTGATTATATTTCTCCAATCCCCCAAACATGAGCCTAGACTTCATGAAGGGGTAAAACAAATTTGTTTCAAGGGAGCCACACATGACCTTTTATGTAACTCTCCATGTAAGGGGTTTCCTCAAACATATTCCAGGGGCATTCCCCTCTGGATTTGAAAGGGAACTAGTTACAAGCAAACATTCCACATACTCCTCCCCTGTGCTGAGCACACAAACATATAATTAAATTATCTCTCAGGTACAAAAATATACAATGTAACAAACCCAAAAATACATGAAAACCCCACAAAAGTCACATCCACTGATAGCCCCGATGTGGGTGACCACCATATCCAAAAATCACCCAGATTGGCTCAGGGGTTCGGGATTTTCATGGAAGTCATGCACATGGTCCTATGCCTAAAACAGTTCCACAAAATCAGGGCTAATGGTCATTTTCTTTCAGGAGCAAAAAAGTACATAAAACATCGAAGAGAATCCTTAAGTTACTTGTGTAGTCTGTTCCCCATGTTCGTGGGAACATTTCCACCGAACAGTGCCTTTCTAAGTGAGATAGAACCGAACGCAGGCGATGATGGAAGTCCAGTGGTGTTCAGGTGTTTCTGTGTCCGATTTTAGTTCCATGAGATTTATGCCCAAACACCGCTGCCTGCATTTGCGGGAACAAGATGACCACAACCTCGCGGTCGTTCATGCGAAATGCGGCTACCCAGATGAACACTTAGAACACTAGGGTGGAAATTGCTACAAAGGATCAGTTGTGCTTAACAGGGTGGTCTCTGGTTTGTGTGGCTGTCCGGTTCCCGAACAATATAAGCCAAATTGCACAAACCAAGCCTTTTTTCAGTGTACTTTGCATTGTCCATAATCATGGGGCAGGAGGCTGGCTGACAGTTTTCAATTTGACACTTTTTATTGGGTTTTTAGCAAGAATGAAGTAACAGAATACATCATACTTCACATTGCATGACAATCTGAAACTCGTTGTCTAATTATGTTGACTCTAGTCAACCAATCAGGTAACTGTTATAAATTTTTTTACATACAATGACAATTGTTATCTGTAAAATATCTCACATACACTAACCATTCAAAAGTGTAGCACTACATAACACCGGTTCTCTGTGGCTGTTTCGTTAAGTATAGAAGTGTCTGCATGTTATTGAGGACACCACAAACAGAGTAATTGCCAGTATTCTCCCTTGATCCTCCCAGGTTATTAGTAAAATGTTAGTTAAGGTGGAGCCTGCAAGTCTCACCCGGTAATATTCCCTATGCTAGGGTGGTAGAAGAACCGTGACTTGGTTGCCTATACAGATATAGAACATCTGCAACATGCAGAGTACCTGAAAATGTGTATTACCTAATCAACATCTTCTTTTAGTCTTGAATGTTTGTTAGGTTTCCAAGTTGTTTGACAATTAACTTAGTACCCTCCACCCACAATTCTTATTTTTCATCTTTATGGATGATATGTGCCAAAAAAAGGAAGAAGACAAACAAGTAACTGAAATATTCTATATATGAAATTATATATAAAACTATAAAAAATCTATATACAAAATTGATATGTTTCAGAGAAGGTAAGACATTACCCTGAAATGAAAGGACTCTGAATCAGTGTTTACAGAACCAAGATAACAAGTGCAATGTGACTGCTGACCATGACTTCCTATCCTTATGTTAAAATGTGAAAAAAATATGGTGATCCTTTGTTGATCTTACAATGTTTTTTTTCTTGCTTTTCTTTGAGCAAAATCGTCAATGACATTGTCGAAGTTTATTTCATCACTCAGTTGCTGTTCTGTAGACAGTATGCAAGATTTCTTAAAAGCAATGTACACATTGTAGATCTCAGGTGATTCTTAATCAATTTTAATTTAGAAAAACTCCTCTCACAACTAGCAACACTTACAGCAATTGTGAGGAAAATTCGCAGCAGTATTACAATATTTTGAACTGAGTTCTCAAGATGGTATTTTAGAATAAACTGCAAAAGTTCGAGGGGACTGTCCTTCCACGTTTCTTTTTCGTCTTGTGCAGCAGCAACAGAAATAAACTCTGAAGTCATTCTCTCAATGAGGAACTCTTCCTTATTAATGTCATCGTGATCAAGATTTAGTTGACATTCATATTTATCATTCAAAAGATTTGATGGAGTAAAGAATGCACACTTTTTCTGCAAAAACAAGAAGCTGCTGAAATCTTGTGGTGATTTCTTGTATCACTCTGTCCGGTGAAAAAAAACATTTCTCTCCTCAACTCAGTTTCGTATGACAATTCAGCATCTTGTGATCCTCCTTCACCTGCCATCAGCTTCTTCTTTCTACACCTACGATCCATGAATATCCCCAGATCATCACAAATTTCTTTGACATAACCTACTAAATTGTTAACTAATTTGTCCTTATTTTCAGATAAACATGCTTTTAAATCCTTGAGTTTTATGTCACATTGTTGTATGTTCAATCCTTTGGTTTAGAGGTAGCCTTGTGTATCGTTAATTTCTAGAAGAACAGATTCCCAAAGGCCAAGAAAGCACAGGAAGGAAAACAATTGTAATGCAACAAGCAGCACACCAGCATCTGACCTGGTAACTCTATTTTCTTCTTCTTCACCAGTTAAATGTTCTACTGCATTTACGATTTATGAGTAATTTTTTTTACAACACTCACAGCATCTACCCATGCACTCCACCGAGTTTCTATTATACGCTTGACACTTTAAACAGTAATTGAAGTCAGAATATCCCAGCGATGGGTTGAAGAAGAAAAATACATAAACAAGGACTCCACAGTTCCAAAAAAGGTAACAGAATTCACAGCAACAGAAGCTGCATGCATACACGCTAAATTCAGCGAGTGATTTGTACATGCAACAAATTCTGTTTTTCCATTAATTTCCTTGATCCATCTCTGAACACCAGTATTTTGTCCAGCCATCACAGCAGCATTATCATATGCTTGCCCTCTACAATTTTGAATATCAATTCTGTCATTTTCTAATTTTTGCAAAATTGTAGTTGAAATATTCTCAGAAGTTTTACCTTTCTTTTAAATTAAATCAACAAATGATTCCACAACCTTTACTTTATTTCCATTGATCATAACGTAGCATAGAACTTGGCTCATTTGATCCTTATGAGAAATACCTGGGGTGCTGTCTAATATCATAGAAAAATACTTTGCTTCTTTTACTTGCTCAATAACTTTGCTTCTTATTTTCTCACCCAAAATTCCAATAAATACGTTCTGAATACTAGGCGACATATAGGATTTAGTAAACTTTTTTCCCAGCTTGATTCTTAGAATATGGATCATATTTCGTCTATTTCCTGTTGATTCAGGTTCATCATCAGTCTCGTAATTAATTCCTATTTCTTTCAACAGTTTTGATCACGACCCAATGGATATAAATGTGTAGAAGATTAAAGATTAATCAGGCATTTTAACATTTTTTTAGACATAATTATTCAGGCACACAGACACAAAGATATACAAACACAAAGTCATAAAAGGCACACAGTCATACAATCTACACATACAGGTACACTGTCAAACAGACACAGATATACAGTCTTACAGAGACACACAGCATTCCGACACTGTCATACATAGGCAATGTAGACACTGGCACACAAAGACAGACAGACACTGTCATTCAGAAACAGACAGACACAGGCGCACAGTCATATATGCAGTCACAATTAATACTTGTATCTGAGCCCTCTGCAATCAGGTGCCTGGGGAGCATGGTGTCTGGCTCCGTGGAGTCCTAATTCTGCAGCCCGGCCTCATCACTAATGTGCAGTCCTGCATGATTCATATCCACACCCCCTGCACACATCCTGTGGCACCCTCCAGAGCCGGTGGATCGGACAGAGGTGTTGGCGTAGCGTGGCCACGCTACATAAATTAGCTGTGCCACCTTATGGTCAAAGACGGTGAAAGTACTTTTGTCTAAGATGTATATTGCTGCCCCCAAAATGTGTGTACACCTGTATGTCTATTAACATCCCCCTTTTGGCCATCTTACCCATCCTTTTGCCTCTTTTGTGCATCATGCTGCTTTTTTGTTTCTCTTTTACCTTTTTGCTTATTGTTTCCCATTTGTCATTGTTTAAATGCCTTTGAATCTTTATCCCACTTTTTGTGGCCTCTTAACCCCTTTGTGTCTTTTATCCCCCTTCTGAATGTCTTTCCCCCCTTTAATATATCTAATTTCTTTTGCCCCCTTTTGTCTCTAACCCACTTTTGACTATATGTCTGTTCAACCATAATTTACCTATTTCAAATTAAGTGTACCCTCACTTATATATAATTTTTTTGAAACGTAATTTAATATAAATAAAATCTAAATGATTTTGAGAAATTAAGAATTTTTTTTTAGTTCTGCATGTCATTTTAACTGTAAATGTGATAATACTGTTAGCTTTTACCACAAGAAATTACACATATTTGTGTTCAGCAATGTCTCACGAGTACAACAGTACCCCATATGTACAGGTTTTATGGTGTTTTGGAAAGTTACAGGGTCAAATATAGGGCTTGCAAATTCAATTATCTTTACTTTCTGTCTGGGTTGTTAGGCAGGTCCCTCAAATATAATAACTGAATCAGTTAATTATGCAAAAATATATGTAGACACAGACATTTATATATATATATATATATACATAGAGAGAGAGAGAGAGAGAGAGAGAGAGAGATTATAATTTTTATTTATACATATATTTCCAAGTGTATTGTGATATCTATCTATCTGTATAATATATTAATTACATGCTTTAATGAACTTATTCACTGAGACAATTTATGCACGTTGCCTCCCATTCTAACTTGAATTTCTCCTTAAGAAGATCCAAGCTTGGTCTATTTAGGCCCATTGTCAAAATTTGTGTTTTTTTATGTTAGCTTTATAGCTAGAATGTTTACTAAATTCCTCTACTAGTGAGAACAGTTTTTGCAGAGAGCCCACAGGGTCCATAAGAGTCAGGAGCACATCGTCAGCATAGAGTGTGATTTTTATCTCTGATATATTTACCGTTAAAACTTTAATATCTGTGTTCAGTCTCATAGCTGCTGCCAGAGGTACAATGAAAAGAACATATAATAGTGGGGCTAATGGACAACCCTGTCGGGTCCTGTTTCGATTTAGAAACCAGTTCAACTGGAACATAAAACCTGTAACTCTGGCTTGTGGGTCCCCATATAAAGACATGGTTTAGTCTCTGAATATGCCATCGATGCCAAAGGAGTCCAAAACTTGTTCCAGATATTACCACCAACCTGGTTGAAAGCCTTCTCGGCATCGAGGGCAATCAGAGTAAAAGGGGACCTTTGCTGGCCAGTTTTGCAGTTTTGCATATAGCGAACTCTGTAGAAGTCCTAAGCATGAAGGGGGAGATTATATTGTTTAGCTTTTAATAAAAAAAATTATGAGAACCCATGTGGGCCTGGAGATTTACCACTCTTTGCTGCACATATAGTCTCTCTAATCTCCTATAGAGAGAAATGGCTATTTAGCTCAGTCATTTTTACCTCAGAGATTTTTTAAAGATTTAGCCTGTTCTTAAACTGGCTGGATAGAGGGAGCTAAATGGTTTAGATTATACTGATTTTTATAGTATTTTCCAAATGCTTTACCAATTTGGGTTGGAGAGAGGAATTTTAAATTACCAATTACAATTTTCTTAATAATTTAATTTGGAGTTTTGTTTTGTTTTTTTAGTTTACTTGTGATATTATTTCCGTAGTACCAACTTTGTTTGAGTGTTAGTATTGTTTTAATTATTTTTTTTCCTGGGTTCTTTCTACAATAGTCTGTCTGATATTCTTAGTTTTACTCAAAATCACTGGGTCTAAACAAGTCTTAGGAAGCCTTTCCTGATTTATCAAATCTATATACAGATTATTCAGATCATTCCCTTTCTGCTTTTTTATATAAGTACCCAATTTTATGAGCCAGCCTCTTATAAATGATTTAAAGATGCACCAGAGTGTAGAGTCAGATACTGCACCATTATCATTGAGTTTAAAAAAATCTTTGACCTGAGCACATAAATCTTGAGTGTTAGAGTCTGAACTTAAGAGAGACTCATTTCATCTCCAATTATTCCTACTTTTATATTCAGAATAATTTTTTATTTCTAATAAAATTGGTGCATGGTCTGACCATGTTATAGGTCTGATTTCTCCTTTTATGATCTGCTCCAGAACATCAGCCCTGCCCAAGAAGTAGTCAATTCTAGTAAATGACTGATGGACATTTGAAAAAAAGGTCCCGATCGTCTGGGTGCAGTCATATTATCTATTTTTAAGGAGAAAGGTAAGCATAATAGATGCTCCGGCTTTCTGAGATTTATCATTTAGCTCAACCTTGTAACTGTTCCTATCCATTTTACTATCTATGATACAGTTAAAATCTCCGCCGATGATCAGACTCCCAGACGACCCACGGTCCAGTTTATCGATGAGACTTTCCAGAAACCTATAAGGAAGTTTATTAGGGGCAGATATTAACACTAAGGTGTATAGCTTATCATTGATTTGTGTTACCAGTATCATATATATACCCAGTGGGTCACTCTCCTCATCTTCAACATGCCTCAAAAAACATGCCTCCTTATCTTCAACATGCCTCAAAAAAATAATAGCTACCCCTCTTTTGTTTTAGTCCCTGTAGGATAGAGCTACATATTACTGGAATTTTTTGATATCTCCAAAGCCTGGCAGGAGGGACTACCCAATGGGTCTTCTGAATAAATCCAACATCTATTTTATTATCCAATAACATTTTATAAAGATAACCTCTCATCTGTCCGGAGTTTAAGCCCCTGGCATTTAGGGACAACATTTTAAGTGACATCTATCCAAAACCTTTTGCTCACGGTTCCCCTGCCCAGCCGCCCTCTACCAACATCTAACCATTCATTCCCACATGTACCATTCACAATAGCCAAAATTTTGGCCTGAGGGAGACATTTATGATCCTATAGTCAAGCTGTAGATTCTCTCTTTTGTACGGAAGACCTCTAAATAAAATCTCCATACTGTTCCTGCTGCCGCCGTAGTAGCCCAGAACAGGCAAATGAGGTTGGATGATATACTGATATCCAGTTAAAAGTTAAGTGGGCCTGGGCTTTGTAATGAGTGTACTAGTTTCTAGAGTTCTAATGCA